ACATATATACACACACACACACACATATATACACACACACACACACACACGCATATATATACACACACACACACGCATATATATACACACACACATACATACACACACACAAACATGTACACACACACACATATATATATACACACACACGCATATATATACACACACACATACATACACACACACACATATATATACACACACACATACATACACACACACATACATACACACACACACGCATATATATACACACACACATACACACACACACATACATACACACACACAAACATGTACACACACACATATATATATACACACACACGCATATATATACACACACACATACATACACACACACACATATATATACACACACACATACATACACACACACACATATATATATACACACACACATACATACACACACACATACATACACACACACACGCATATATATACACACACACATACACACACACACATACATACACACACACACAAACATGTACACACACACACATATATATATACACACACACGCATATACACACACACAAACATGTACACACACACACAAACATGTACACACACACAAACACGCACACACACACAAACACGCACACACACACACACGTATATATATACACACATACACACACAGACAGAGTCAACAGCAAGGGCAGGAGACATTCCTGGTCAACCATGTGATGTGAAAGCTCGAACCTCACTTTCCATAACTCCAGGATGTAATGTTACCACAGCAACTCTCTGAAAATACCACAACCACTCACCAGAGGCCAGTTGGATCCAACGCTTTGACTGATTAGGAATTAATAACAGAGAGATTTACACTAAGATTAACAATAATTATTCTTTATTTTGCAGTATTTACATTCCGCCATACATCCATTGCATGTTTTCATTTTTGTTTTATTGACTTATGGTGCCCCTTATACCAAGTTTTTTCCCTTCTGCATGAGTATCCAATGCTTTCCAAAGTGGGATGTCAATGCATCAGCAATGCTGACTGGCACGCATGGACCCTCAGAGCAGCTGAATTGGCTTGGAGGCAATCTTCCCCACGCCCCACCCATCTAATAATGCCTGCTGGCAAAGTGTAGCTTCATACTTTGAGCTTTTTAATCTGCCAGCAGAGGGAGGTGTTGCCAACTCCTGTTGGACAAATTCCTGGAGATCTCATCACGTGACCTCCACCAGCAATCCCACCCATCCATCTGCCTCCAATTCCATCCTTCTAATGGAACAATAAATAGATGAAGCAGAGTGAGGTTGCTCCTGATTGATGCTTACTGCAGTCTCTTGAAGACTAAATTTTAATTTCTCGGATCACCAAGACAATCCTGGGGATGTGGCAGCTCAGTGTAGAGGGGATTTCCAAGTGACTGAGTGCTCCTCAGAGGAAGACAGTGCAACCTGCAGTTCTGGTGTTGGTGTTGGCGTGTGAGTTAGTGAGGTCCAGAAAGTCAAACTATCTGCAGCAGCCCATGTGTTTGGGACCTGAATAGAGAACTGTCACAAATACCTGATCTCTAGTGCTGTTGCTGCAGTCATCATTAGGAAAATAGTGGAATGTTATTGTTTGTTGCAAAGGGCACAGAATGCAAGAGTAGGGAGGTTCTGCTTTAGTTATGCAGGACATCTGGAGGACCCTGTACAGTATTGGTCTCCCTGTGTAAGGAAGCAAGTGTGTGAAGCATTAGAGAGTGACACCTGGAGTGAACAGCTTGCCTTATGTGGAAAGATTGGACAGGTTAGCCTAATATCTGCTAGAGCTTAGAAGATTAAAAGGTGACTCAATTGAAATATATGAGATCCTTAAAACATTCAAGAGGGTAGCGTGGTAGCTCAGTGGTTAGCACTGCTGCCTCACAGTGCCAGGGACCCAGGTTTGATTCCATCCTCGGGCAACTGCTTGTGTGATATTTGCACATTCTCCTTCTGTCTGTGCGGGTTTCCTCTGGGTGCTCTAGTTTCCTCCCACAGTCCAAAGCTGTACAGGTTAGGTTGATTTGCCATGCTAAATTATCTATACTGTCCAGGGACTTGTAGGTTAGTGGGGTTAGCCGTGGAAAATACAGGGTTACAGGGATGGGATAGAGGGATGTGTCTGTGTGGGATGCTCTTCGGAGGGTTGGTGTGGACTCAATGGGCCAAATGAACTGCTTCAACAGTGTAGGGATTCTATGATTCTGTGATCCTGAGGAGCCACTGACAGAGTGGATGTGGGGGAGATGTCTCCCCTTGTGGGAGATTCCAGAACAAGAAGTCACTGTTTTTAATTTCTCTGTGAGGCTTTGGAACTCTATTCCTCAAAAGCGAGTGGAGGCAGAATCTGTGAATGTTCTTAAGGCAGAGGTAGATAAATTCTTAATAAGCCTGGGTGTGAAATATTATCGGGCGCAAGCATGAATATGGATTGGAGGATTAAGATCAACCATGATCTCATTGAATGGTGGAGCAGAGTGGCCTGCTGCTGCTCCTAATTGGTATTTTATTTATTCATTTGTGGGATGTAGGTGTTGCTGGCTGGGCCAACATTTATTGCCCGTCTCCAGTTGTCCTTGAGAAGGTGGTGATGAGCTGCATTCTTGAACCGCTGCAGGTTGACCCACAACTCAGTTAGGGAGAGAATTCCAGGATTGTGACCCAGCCACAGCAAAAAAATGGTGGTATATTTCCAAGTCCATGAATATTCCATATTCATGTTCATATGTATGTTCATGTAAACCCAACAATGGATTGACTATTGACCTTCAATCCTGGAGAGGATGGACTCACTCATATCCTGGAGACCAATGGTGCTGCTGGTCTAGTTGATTTTACTTGCATTCAGTCTAGGGCTCCAAACAGGATTATCTCAGTCACTTGTGTTGTCACTGTAAAAGAGGAGAATAACTTCTCCTAATTCCATTCATGATCTTGGAATGTCACAAAGAACACTTCAGCCTGTGAAGTCAAGATTGTAATGCAGCAATCATGTTCACCAATTTAAAAAACAAACTCCCGCACACAGCACTGAAAGAGATATCAGACAATCGGATTTATCACTGTCGGAGGAAGGATGAATATTGGTCATGATGCTGAAGAGGCCTCCCCTGCTTCTCAGCAGAGAGTCCACTCCCATCTGATGGAATGGGCAGGATTTTGGTTGAATATCTCATCCAGAGGTCAGGACCTCCAACAGTGCTGTGCCGCCCGCTAATTCGGTGAAATTACCACCATTTCCCCAGTCTGAGCTTAAGCCTCTAGAGTGAGATTTGAAACCAGAACCCCTCAGACAGAAGTAAGAATGCCATACAGTGAGACATTATATGCTGTTGGTGACGTGCTGAAGTTAATGGAGTGAGACCCAGCAATTTGTTTTTCAGTACAAGTTCCTTTCATTTTGAAGTTATGAGTGAGTGGATGAGAAGAAATCCTGGAACTATTAAGGAGACAATCTATGGCTAATTTGCTACTTCACAGCTTAGAATGTAACTCAAAACTTTGAAACTTGGTATACAAAGGAAATGACTTTAGGCTTATCATGAGGAAATTGACCTGATTTGTTGTGTTTCTTGTTGCAGGGTCAAATGGATGAAGATGTCCAAAACGTCTTATTACAGATCTTAAAAATGCACAAACCTCACAAACAGACCAGCTTTTGAGATTCAAGCTTTGAAGAGGACAGTAAAGTGTTATTTCTTATACCTGATGACAAGGTTTAAATTATATGGTGTGTTTTTATCTCGACTTTTTCAAGACTTGAGAAGAGAAACGGAGGAACGAGCTCTGTGTAGTAGTACTTATTTTATTGAATAAATATTGTCTAATGATGGAGGCTGTTAATGTGGTCAGCCTTCACAGAGTGTACTGGTATGAACATTGAACTAATAAAGCAGAAATACTTAAAGAATATTTATGTTGATCTTTTGTTGGAACTTTGGATCTTTGGCATCTATGATCCTCTTCATTTTCATCACTCTCTTGATTATTTTTGGGTGCTGGGTGGTAAGTTGACTTTTAAGTTATCCTCAAAATAATAAGCGCACCTGAATTTAGTTGAGCAACTGGGGAGAGGAGCTGGGCTTGTTGGTTAGTTGTAAGACTGATGTCTGTCAGCAAAATTGTGGAGTGGAGTAGTAGAGATAAATATTGACTTCCCTTATGACTCAGCTCAACTGGAGCAACAAGGGTGAATGAACCAACATTTATAGGGGTGACCTGAGCAGCTTGGATGTGGATGTCACTAACAAGACTAGCATTTGTTGTCCATCCACTGTGTGACTTGCATGGTCATCTGAGAGAGAAGTTAAGAGTCATCCATATTGCTGTGGATCTGTAAGCTGGACCAGCTAAGGACAGCAGATTTCCTTCCCTCATGCGAATCAGTGAATGACATGGGTTTATAAACGATCGCCATCACTGAGACTAACTTTCAATGTCAGATTTTATTAATTAATTGAATTAATGGCTGCTGTTGGTGGGATTTGGATATGTGTCCCCAGTGCATTAGCTCTGAGAGACTAACCTAGTGATATTCCCACTGCATCACCATCATTCCTTCTTACCCTCTTGCTCTGTGACACTTGAATTGTCCAACAGCTCTCTGCAGTTCTTCTTGCAGGTCTGAACCTTTCTGTACCGTGTTGTGCAGACAGCAGCTACCGTGTCCATTCCAGTGGATGAGTCAAGAATAAGGGACCACAATTTAAAGTGAAAGGGAGGAGGTTCCGAGGTGATTTAGCAAACATCTTTTCACCCAGAGGGTGGCGGGGGAGGGGGCCTGGAATACACTGGAAGGGTAGTTGAGGTGGGCAACCTTGCAGCCTCTTAAAAAGTACTCAGATGAGCATTTGAAGTGTTATAATATTCAAGGCAATGGGTTTAGTTCAGGAAAGTGGGACTAGTACAGGTCATAATGTATTTTATGTAGTACAGCCTTGATGGAGCAAAGGGCCTCTTCCATAACCTATGATTGTAGAGAACCCAAGCTGCTCTGCACTGAAGGGCATCTCCAAGTCTACCTAGCTACCTGAAGCACACCTTGCACATGCCAATGACCTGCCCCTGACAGTCATATGATGTTCACTTAGTGGTTTCTGACAGATGTCACCTCACAAGTTATAGATGGGGATCACGTGGCCCCTAGCTTCCATCTGTTAAGTCTATCTGTAAATCTGAGGATGTCACAAAGTTTAGACTGATGATGCCGGAAAATATCATTGTAGCTGTCAACAAATCTTATGCATTAGCTGCATTTTATGGTTGCACGTTGTAGTGATTGTAATGAGGTCAGCCAGGTGGACCTCACAGAATGAGTTCCCCAGGCTGTTAACCTGGTCCAATCAGGGAGCCCTGGCTGACAGATAGAAACAGGAGTGTCAGACATTCTGTTCACTCTGTGAGCTGGCTCTGAGGGAGCTGGATCAGTGTCAAGGACTCTCCATGTGTAAATAAAGGGTGACTTGGTGATGGGATACCAGCCTCTGTGGAGTTATTTCACACACTAGCTTTACAAGGGTGGACTGAAAGCCTTCCCTCTCAGCACACTAATACCCCTTGTCATTCTGAGCATGCCAGGATTGGCACATGGGGTAATGGATGGTGCCGTGTCCCTGAGGAAAGCAGCCAGAGCTGAAAGACTGAGAACATAGTCGTTCTGATTGGCACCATCATAGGAAAAAGTGTCAATTGTTGGTCACCTTTGTGACATATTTGTAGGTCAGCAACTGACAGATCCTGCAAACATGTTTCGTTGAGCCCAGGAAGGAGTATGTCCTAATTTCCTGGGATTCATTGGCCTCTTCAATTGTAGCTGTGTCCTCTCCTTGCCTTCCCCTTCTGTGAAATGTTAATGTAGATATTGCTATAATTGAGCAATTAAAATGTTAATTGGAAATCTAGTGCTCCTGAAGAGATTGCACACATGTAGCTACATATTGTGGTGAAATCCAAGGGCCATCTTTATCATTATCGGTCTCTCCAGTTACAAAGTCCCTCCTGAATCCAAGTCTACATACTCCGCCTCATTTGTATTCACCCTATTGTTTATGATTTGGGAAAAAGATCTGTTTTGAATTTCTCTTTATCTTTGAATGACATCAGGAATGGATGGGAAATCTGGCTTAAGATAGTGCTACCATATTTTGAGAGTCACAAAGAAAGGGATCTTTAGGCAACAGTTTGCATTTATGTAGCACCTGTAACATAGTTCATTACAGTCATATGTTGTGACACCAATCACTGTTATGTTGTGGTTGTAGGAGAATGCTGCCACCGACTCTCATTTCCGTGCTGAGTTTAGGAGCCTATCTAATTAGCAGTGGTAGAGGATAAACCACCATTGACAAAAAGAGGCACTTATCTCACATGATAAGATTTATTTTATTGCTTGATAGCAATTGGTGCAAGTTACATTGATGAGTTGGGCATAACTACCAAGATTGTCAGGAGCGTGAGAGGATATGTCTGCCTGCATTGGGAGCTTGTGAAAGATAGCTGGGTTCTCCACTCAGAGACCACGATATCATCAGGTGGATGCAGGTTCAACTTTGTCTCTTTCAGAGCCATCAGCTTATATAACAATCCTCGAAGTGAAACCCTTCGTGTAAACCCAGGGTTCCCACAGTTGCAATGACTATACTTCCGCAAGCCCTGCCACCTTTATTGTTCATGTAAATACACCAAATAAGAATGAATATAACTTCATGCTAATGATACTGGGCTAGCAAAACTGCAGATTCAATTCTCACCATGGCAAATAGAAGAACTAACTTTCACGTATTTAGTAATGTAGAGGCTGGCCCCTGCATAGACATACCATGAAAAACTGTTGCATTGGCATTAAAGTAAAACTGGCTCATTAAAGGCTTTCATGGAAAGGGATCTGCCATTTCTGTTGCATAAGGGTTTCAGGACCCTGGAGCCACCTTGCACTGATGTGATAGAGGTGCACATCACCGAACATAAATAGCACAGTGTGGATGGAGGTAGGACATTCTGGAAGAATAAACTATTCCACACTAGGCTAGAACTTTTGAGAGTTTTAAGAGCACATGGACATGAAGGCAGTGAAGAATCACATTACGTGATATAACCATAAGATTAGGGGCTGGTATCGCAGTATTTAGCATTAATATATAAAAAAATGGCGTTTTTCTTTGAAATCTAAGCCTGAAGTCAGTTCTTTAGAACAAGGGCTAGATGGATCTTATTGACTATGAGTTCTTGATTGGGGTTCTTAACATGGGGCAATCAGGGAGTCCTGGTTGACAGAGATAAACAGGAGATTCAGAGAGTCTCCTCATTCTAGGGACTGGCTGTGAGCTGGCTGGTCAGAGCCCAAGGACTGTGCACACGTAAATAGAGGGTGACCTGGTGACTGGATACTGGCCTCTGCGCAGTTATTTCACCTTCTCTCCACTCAGTCTGTCTTGAAGGCAAACTCATAGTGTGGCATCAAACCACACAATAATAGAGTTCCGATATAGCCTGGAGAGGAGTTGTCATATTTTCCTAGGATTGATTGATGTCTTCAATTGTAGCTGTGTTCTCGCCTTGCCTTCACCTACGACTGGGATTCCTGTGAAATATTTATGTAAATGCCACTATAATTGAGCAATTATAATATTATTGATAGAGTACTCCTCTTGAGGGAATTGTACACATGTAGCTGCACATTATAGTGAAATCTGAAGAACATCTTTCAAACTCATTACCAATTTCTCCAGTTACAAATTCCTCCTGAATCCAACCTACATGCTCCACCAGATTATATTCACCCCATAGTTTTTGGTTTGGGAGAAAGACATTCTGCATGGTTGCTTAATATTGCCTCCCAAGTTCGTGACAAATTCGGCCTTGCTAGAGTGGCGCATATTGCGAGTACAAATAACGACAAATAATTAATTCATAATTACATTCTATTTCTATTTTGAACCAAAACAGTGTGAAAGCACTTTCCTTCTGAGGGTGCCATAATTCCAATGTGGGCAGCCTGGACTAAAATCCCTATTTTTCATAGAATCACAGAGCCATACAGCACAGAAACAGACCATTCAGTCCAACACGTTCATGCCAACCATAATCCCAAACTAGTTCCACTTGCCTGCATTTGGCCCATAGCTCTCCAAACATTTCTTCTTCATGTACTTATTTTTAGTGTATGTGCATCCACCACATCCTCATTCCACATATGAACTACTCTGTGTGTAAAAACATTGTCACCAATATCTTTTAAATCTTTGTCTTCTCACCCTAAAAATATGTCCCCTAGTCTTGAAATCTCCCACTCTAGGGAAAAGACATGCCATTCATGTTATCTATAACCCTCATGATTTTATAAACCTCAATATTCATTTCCCTTTGTTCTCCAGCATACATTTCTTTCTCCACAGTAAAAACTGATGCAAAATATTCACTTACTATCTCTCCCATCTCCTGAGCTTCAACACAAAGATGACCTCTTTGATTTTTAAGTGGCCCACCTCTCTCTCATTGCTCACTTGCTCTTAATGTATTTGTAGAATCTCTTTGGATTATTCTTAACTTTATTTGTCAAGGTTCTGCATATTCCCTCTTTGCCTTCCCGATCTCCCTCTAATGAATGCCCCTACACTCTCTATACTGTTCAAGAGATACGTTTTTTGATAAATCGTTAATATAAAAAAATGTAATTCTGTCCAGTTTAGAGAACTTCGAAATCCTGGAACTGTTGTGTTAAATCTTGTCCTCTAGTTATCTCGTAGAAAGAGGAATTTGCCATATCAACAAAA